GTTAAAAGAGATCTACCCAAGCAGAGAAGCTAAGAAGTCACTGAATGAAGTATAGTCAAATCTACACTACGTCGGCTATCGCGTGATCCATCAATCGCTCCAAGCTCCCAGCCGTCATTACTGCATCACGACGCGATCGAAGCCACTGCTCGCTGAATCAAGGTGCATATGTTCATGCTATAACTTCTACAGTCTCGACACACTCGCTATCTGTGTCTAAACGTAACAGACAATGCACACCACTCTTCGTCCCATCCGTATGATACTCCACTCCAGCCCTACCTCCAATCACCACCTATGACATGTAAGTGGACATGCTTATATCTCCTCCTCTTCGCCACCCACCGTCACCACTTTCCACCACCGTCTTCCGCCGCCACTTGCCGCCACTTGCCATTTCTCAATCTTTTTTAAATTTTTAAATTTTTTTAAATATTTTGTCAATTACCAAACGCGTTTGTAATTTATGTTTTTCTAAAAATAAACAAAAACCAATATATAAAATTTTTGTAAATATAAACTGAAAACGTAAACGTTACCAAACACACCCTAATGTGTTCACTCGTTACTCTTGTTAGAAATAATATGAATTTTGACTATTAATAGTTTTTGTTTTGATTTGCTTTTAATTATTAAATGTTAAAAATATGAATTTTGATAATCAATGATTTTTGTTTTTGATTAATTTTAGTTGTTAAATATTAAACAATATGAATTTTGATAATTAATAAAAAATTTGATTTATTTTTAATTGTTCAATATTAGACAAACAAAATTTATTTTATTTTTATCATAATTTTTATCTCTTAAATTTTTATAAAATTATTTAACGTGAACATTATTGTGACATTCCCATGACACAAGTAAAGGTGGACATTAAAGACCACTCTAAAGTAAAGACAACTCTAAAGTAAAGGTGGACATCCTCCAAGACTTTAATGACAATTAAATTCACTTTATGGACTGGCCCAAAAAAAACCTTTAAACTACTGCCAGCCCAAAACATGAGTTGCCTTTTGGTTGTATATATATTGGCCTCGTTTGGAAAGGGGTTATTTTTAGAAATTTTTTGATTTTTTGATTATTTTAGTAAGTTATTTTAATTTTTGTGTTTGGAAAGATGAGATAGATTTTTAGTTAAGTTGTTGTATTGAAAAGTGTATTGAAATGATATTTGAATTTAAAATGACAAATTTATCCCTAAAATTATATATTTTTAAATTGATGAGAAAGGGCAAAACCGTAATTTCCCATATAATGTAACAACTTGTCACTTTGACAGTGAACCTATTTTTTTTTTTTTTTAATAAAAAAGAATGAAAAGTGGGTTTTTTGGCTTATATCTCATTTGAGGCTATAAATAGCTTAAATTAAGCTGAAAGCTGAAATAAGCAGCTTTTAAGTTGCACCAAACAGGCACAATAGCCTGATTTGCCACTTCCCAAACAGTGCCATTATATATATAGTGTCGGAGTTAGAAAATTAAATTAGAGAAGGTACTTATTAATTACAATATCAAAAAAAAATTACAAAAATATTTCACACAAGTTTTTACGATTGATTTCGAGAAACATTAAAAAAAATAATATTATTTATAACTAGTGTATTATTCATAACTAGTGTATCATGAATATTATAAATATATATATATATATATATATATAAGCCTTAAAATAAATTATATAATGATAAATTATTTTTTTATACAAAATTTGATTAAAAATTTAATATAATGGTAATACCACGTCATCATTAGTATGTGATATCACCAACTAATAGTAAATAAATACAGAGATAATGAACCTCACATATCAAATGTAATTAACAATTCAATAAATTTTATATCTCTATGGTGATATTACTTATATTTACATGTCAATAATAATGACATCACTGTAATATTAAAAAAAATTCATAAAATTTTCATAAATAATATGGTTTATAGTAGTCTCTTCATTTTCAATTAAAACAACCATTATTGTTTTTATAATTTTTAAAATCTCATTGACATTTCATTCAAATAATATTTTTGTAATTTTTTTATTTAAAATATTTTTTTATATTTGCAAAAAATAAAACAATTCAAAATACAAGGAGGGCACGTGACCCCCCTAGTCCCTTCTTTCCTCCGCTACTGTATATATATATATATATATTTTTTCTTCTTCTTTTTTTTGTGTTTTTTCATCATGATGTCCATAAAAGCAGCCTAATTTGGGAACTTAATTAACGTCAAAAATTAGTTTTTAATTTATTTTAGATTATATTCTTTTTTACTTTTTTACAAATTTTTTTAAAAAAAAGTTAAAAATCAATTTTTAACCAATTTCTCAAAACAATCCAAAATTATCTCAATTGGGCAGGCCAACTATATAAGTTGGACCTAGGGGTGTAAAAATGGACCATGATTTGTGGGATGCTCGAAACTCACCCACAGTCTAGGGTAGGCTCAGGCTCGAGTTCAGTCCGAAACCCTAGACTTGGATTTGGATCGTTATTTTAAAGTCCGGGCCGGCTCATAAGCCCGACCCAAGGCCAGTGTCATTTTTGATAAAAAAAAATAAAACAAAATTTTAGTTAAAAAAATATACATTTGTTCATGCCCACCTAAACCCAAGTCCAAGCCTAAGGCCCTGTTTGTTAGAACTTAATTTCAGCTTATTTCAGCTTTCAGCTTAATTTAAGCTATTTTGATGTGTTTGGTTTAGCTTATAGCTTATAGCTTATAGCTTTGTGGAAGTCAGAAAACAGCTTATTCTTTGAGTGGGGCAGGAGATGCTTTAAGAATAAGCTGGAAATCAGCTTAAGCTGAAAGTTATAAGCTATAAGCTGTTTAGGCATAAGCTATAAGCACTTTCCCACAGCTCTACCAAACAGGGCCTAAGTCTCAACCCAGACTCAGGGCGGCTCCGGTCCGCTCGAACCAAATTCACACCCCTAATTGGACCGAGTAAACTGTAGGTGTGAGGAATGGGTTACGTCAATTCGATAACATGGGTTTTCAATGCACATGCACAACTTTATGCATGGATGTGGCATACATTTGCATTTGATGTCCACATACAAAAACAATGACCATGTTTGGTTGTTGAATTAGGTTGGGTGGTGTGGTCATATTAAAGTTAGTGATGCTAGATAAATTATGTTTATTTGTGATTAATTGGTTGTAATTAAATATAAGAAATTATGTAAAAATTATCATTATATAAAATGCAGTTTTGTTATTTTTGTAAGTAGGGATAAGTATGGTCCGAATTAGTTCGATTTGGAGTAAAATCATGACCAATCTGTTGTTTATGATTCCTTAAAAATGAAAATTAAACCAATCCATTTAAATCATAGAATTAATCCGATCTATCTATTTAAACACGGTTCGATTCGATTTGGAACCAAGGTTTCACATAATTTGTTCATAAAGAAAAATCATATAATATTTTCATTTCAAAAATCATATAACACTTTAAATATGTATATTGTTCCATCATTAACTTAAATGAATATAATATCTAGTAAATAAACATATTGCTTAACATGTATTAAGCATTAAACTCTCATCAAACAAATATATTGTTTGTGACAACAACAATTATCTATACTATTATATATGTGAGCACATGACTTGGAATCTAATAGTGTGGTCGCTTCTCCTTCTGCCATGTGGCAAAATTTTCTATCCTAAAATAAAAAAATATTATTCAAAGGCGCAAGTAAGATTTGAACCCAAAATCTTGAGTTTCATCAAGAAGACTCTTACCATTTAGACAACATACGTATTATGATATTAATATCTTTATAATTTATTTTTATGTTTACTTATCTAAATTACACATGCATTGTGTGTGCCATCCACTAGTAAAATTAATTTTTTTTTTTTTAAAAACAACAAAATAATAATAGTGTTTCACAAAGGGTGTATGGTATATATATGGTTTAAGTTACATATAGTTCGGATTGGTTCTAATTCACAACCGTAAACTTCGATCCGCGAAAAACGATTCCTCAATTTTCCAAACTAGAACTGAACTATAGATTTAAAAAATCAAACCAAAAATATCGAATTGGACTAGGTCGATTTAGTTTACGAATTTCACGATTGCTTTGCTCAGCCCTATTTGTAAGTGATGGTAAAATTTCTTTGTATATCCCAACTCTTTCTTGAAAATGCTAACCTCACCCTTTGAGGAGATTAGCATTTGAGTAACATTAGTTATCATGAAAAAAATATCATGAAATATTTTATGAAGATTTTTCATTATTTGATTAATGTGTAATTCAAGGGTAAAAAATGTTTATGAAACATTTTATGAAATCATTTTTATGATTTCATAAAAAATATTACTCTTACCATTCCTATAAGACTAGGCATTTTTACCGAATTAGGATCCTCTCCTTGCACTCTCTCTATTCCTTCCTACTTGTAATGGTGGAGATGTATTTTAAGATAATCTAATGGTCCAGATCTAGTTATTTTTTAAATTGTTTTTTGTATATCTCCAGATCTAGATCGTTAGATCATTTTAGAGTGCATCTTCACCCTTGCAAGTAGAGAGGTAAGGAGAGAATACAAGTAGAGAATCTAGACTCATTTTTACCATCCAAACACGAGATATTGTGGGACCACCAAATTGCAAAATCAATCGTTATCATTTATAGTGCTAAACAAACCTTGCATAAGAGTGCATTTTCTTCATCAACAAACAAAAAAATAATATATATATATATATATATATTGACAATTTAGATAGTTGAAAACTAGTGAAGTCATATTTTTTTTGTGAATTTGTTTTTAAAAAATACTAGTTGGACCTCACGCGCTACGTACATGGAGTCCCATTATTGTTGCAAGAAATAATACATGATAGCAAAATTGTAATAATTTTTTTTCAAAAAAATCTGCAACACAAAATACACAATATTTATTATTTTATATTCAATAATCATAACCTCTTCCTACATTTAACAAAATTGTGAACCAAAAAACAAACTAGTTCCTTGCTGTCTTTAAAAAAGAAAAAGACAAACATATGTATGCCACAATTAAAAACAGGGGTTCAAGTAACAAAGACTTAGAATCAAATTTGTAAACATTAAGGTGACCAAAAGAATATCTTATTTCAGATATTAGAGAATGTAGAATTTTCTCATCTTTCTTTTTCCTGTTTTAGTTCCAAATAAAACATCCCATGGAACCAAAATTTGGGTAAAGAATTACCTTTGTGTTGTTTAAGAATTGGAGACTTCTATGTGATCTTGACCATAGGTGAGGTATACTTCAAAAGTCTTCCAACACTTGCATTGAACATGGATGATCCACATGTAAAAGTTGAATGTCCACTATCAAAAACAAGTTCACAAAATCAATCTTGATCCATCCATTGATCAACATTTCTATAGCAAGTGAAGCTTGTTTGCTAAACTTTCCTCTTCACCCTCGACCTTGTACTTGATTTTTCAATCCTGGTCTCAGTTGAAGTGTCTTAGGATCAGGCACTATATACCTACTGTCATTTATCACTACCAGAAAGAGATGGGAATGGTTATCTCAATTGCTCTTCGATGCATTGGCGGGCTGCCTCCAGTGACATGTTGGTCTACCATTGCACATTGTCGTCATTATCATTGTCTGTCTCTTCTTTCTCATCAACCTGACTTATAGTTGGTGAACTTTGATCCTCATCAGAACCATTGGCTTTCTTTTTGTTGCAATTGACTTTTGTAGGCCCATCCTTGGAATTTGAAGACCCCTTCTTCTTCACTACTTTCTTTAGCTTCTTCTGCTTTTCATCAGCAGACTCACATTCCTTCAGTCACTCTTTTTCAGCCCTCCGCATTGCCTTCTTGTCTTTAGAACCCTTCTTTGGTTCAGATGGGTTCTTCAAAATGAAGGCTACGAGTTTGTCCCTCACATCTACATCCGAAACAAAACCACACGCTGCACATCTCAATTGAACCATCTGAATTTTTGTAATTAAGTCCTCTATTTCAAGATATGTAGTATTTCAACATGTAGAAGTCTCCTAATGATTTTTAGTCATGAAAAGAGAGATCCTTCTCTGTAGTCAAGGAATGTTACACCCAGCTGCTACCACAAAATTATGGGTATTCCTTAAATGACCCGTGATGCATACAGTCAATTCTTTCTGGCAACTGTGAGTTTTTACTTGACATAGGACAATACTCTTCAAGCAACCCAATCGATCCCAAATAGAAAATGGCATGTTCAGATATAAAAGAAACTTCAATGTTGACACAATGACACACCTCAAGGTGGCAATTTGACGAGGGCAGATTAACCTGTGAGCTCAAGTTAATTAGTTAGGAATGGGTTAAAAATAAATGGTCACATTGTAATAAAATGTTATTAGAGAAACAATGTAATGTAGAAAGAGAAAAAAAATTGAAATTAAACCCTTCCACACCCTAAAATTTAAAAACTATAACAAACTTAGGAAGTAATTCAAACTCATGAAACCAAAGGCCACCAGAAAACATTGTCAACTATACATCACAAACCTCCCACTACTACTTGTTCACCCAATAACAATGTGAGTCATGTAACTATTTAACAACATTTTGTTTGATCTCACAGTAGGAGAGCCAATTATTGTAAGACTATGTAGAAATGTCAAGAATGAAAAGGATACGACTCCACACAAGTTGCTACATTTCAATAGTTAAATGAACTTCAAATTTTCAAAACTGATTACAAACAAGGCAAAAGTAAAAAAATCTTCTAACACAAAAGGGGAGGCTAAGAATAAAAGGAGAAGGATGATTCAATCAAATCAACATCTTGCCATTTTCAGAAGAAACAAGAACAGTTGACATATGTGGGGAAGACATCGTAAGAGAAGATAATGACCTACGTGCTGCATCATGATCAAAAGAAACGAAAGAAGATGTATGCATAAGTAAACTGTGTTAATAATATATTAATTCCATTTACTTGAAAGCTTCAATTTGAATCTACAAATATTGCGAACTTAAAATATTAGATAATTGGGATGGAACGGCTAACCATAAAATATTGCTTAACCTTGTCAAGCTATCCCAGATATGTTTATTTTTTTAAATCTTTTTCTTTTTTTATTTAAAGCAAAACCATAAAATATACTCCATTGGCACTTTTTTATTTTGCCTTTTTCTTGCGACTCAATCGGCACTTCTTTTCTTTTTCTTTTAATTTTTTTTTCTTGCTTAATATACTGTATTTATTTACCTATGCATCTAAAGTTGTCAAGTAATTTCAAAAGGTCATTAATTATTCAATTGCAAATTAAATGAATTGTGTTCCTTAGTCCTATCTAGGATTTCTTAGGTTGAAGCGTAATCGACATATACTCAAATGATCAAACGTATAGTCCAAGTTAGTTTACAGTAGGCAATACGATAAAAAATTAATTAGACATTTGAATTCGTCTGCACAATTTATACTCAAATTTATGTAGTGAGAGGCAAGCACCTGATTGAAATTTTCTGATTGTGAAATCTTCAATTGAGTTCACTTATTGAAGATTATCAAATGTATTGAGTAGTGAATCGTATTTTGTGATCATCTTTGATTACCTACAATCCATGGGAGGATTAGATGCATCGACTTCAAATGGCTAGTGAAGAGTTGCACATCCAAGAAGACTATTAACATTTTATCAACAGCTAAAGAGAACACAGAAAAGAATTGACTACCAAGTCCAATGGTGGAGCCAGAATTTTGACTCAAATGGGGCACCATTGAGTTGAAATCTTAACAAAAATCACGATCAAATCACTTAATTTTTATTTGATGGTAGGAATAAAAATGTTATATTTAAATACAAGCTCATGCTAACCAATCTTAATCATTTTTTGTTTTTACTTTGATTTTTTATATGATGATCACATGGTTTGAAAAATAATCACATGCCTTGTAAAATATGAAAACAAAATTATATTTAGTTGCACACACAAAACAGATGTAGATAGGAATTAAAAAAAAAAAAAAAGAAATGAGAGGAGGTGAATAAATAATTCAAAGACACTGCTATATATCACTTATTTTTCTTTTCTTTTTTTTTAACAGTTTTGAATCATTGAATTACTTAGTAATATATTATTAGTTGTTGTTAATTGTGTAATAAGTATTTCTAAACAAAGAAACTAATTATGAGTATTCATATAATAGGTGATATAACAAAAAATTCAGTGACATATAATAATTCTCTAATACAAATCACTTAATTTTTATTTGATGGTAGGAATAAAAATGTTATATTTAAATACAACCTCATGCTAACCAATCTTAATCATTTTTTGTTTTTACTTTGATTTTATATATGATGATCACATGGTTCGAAAAATAATCACATGCCTTGTAAAATATGAAAACAAAATTATATTTAGTTGCACACACAAAACAGATGTAGATAGGAATTAAAAAAAAAAAGAAATGAGAGGAGGTGAATAAATAATACAAAGACACTGCTATATATCACTTATTTTTCTTTCTTTTTCTTTTTTAACAGTTTTGAATCATTGAATTACTTAGTAATATATTATTAGTTGTTGTTAATTGTGTAATAAGTATTTCTAAACAAAGAAACTAATTATGAGTATTCGTATAATAGGTGATATAACAAAAAATTCAGTGACATATAATAATTCTCTAATATAAAAAATTGGTGACACATAGTAACATATTAAACAAGTTTTTTTGAAGAGAAAATGTAAAGAAAATAGTGATTTAAAAATTTAATATCATATTTGAATGGATTAAATTGAAACTTTTTTTTTTTACTGAAGGCAAAAGTGCAATTTTTCCCTGATCCTTAATTCCCTCCACCCCTGACCAAGTCTCCTCCAAGAAATTTTAATATTGTTATTAATAAATTGAAATGAAGTTCATAGTACAAGAGGAGATAAAATAGAGGAAATGTAAATTCAATTTTAGCCAGCTATAAAAATATAGAACAAATAAATAAATGAAATGAAAATTCAAAAAACCCAAGTCATTGTTATCATCAAAAACATATAGGAAAACAAATATCCATAAAAAAATCAAAAAGAAAAAAATAAAAGAAACCCATTAAAGAAGGCTCATGAACCAACCATTACAATCCAATCAACAACCTCTTTTCCAGTCCCCTAAATCCAAATGAGACATAACAAAAACTGAACATGGAATAAATATTAAAGATTAAAATAAAAATTGATTTTTGATATTGGAGTTATATTAGCATCTCCAACGGTAATAGGTATTTTACCTATTTAAATATTACTATAAAGTATATATTTTATTTTGCCTATCAACTATTTCATGTATTTAATACTATTAATTTTAGAAAATGCCACATCAGCAACAAAGATGGAGGGAAATGATCCTGATGATCAAATACATTTTGCCTAGCCTTGAAAGCTAGCTACATGTAGTGAATGTGAGTTGAGCTAAAATGCCTAATCATATGCCTAGTGCATTGGAGTTAAAAAAAATGAGTTATACTAGGCATTTTAACTAACAAGCATTATATACCTAGTGGATTGGAGATGCTCTAACAACTAAGATTTGTTTTAAAAGAATGGAATGGGTAGCTTCAACCCCTACAACTTTCTTTATCCTGTTCTTATTTCAATTTTTATTTTTTTATTAGAGTTCATCATTTAACTGCAATACCACCACCTTAAATTGTTTGATTGATAGAGACACCATTTAAAATCCTACTGTAGTCCTTGCAAGCAAAAAAATGAAATGGTTTCTGTTGAGTCTCCGTTCTAGCCTTGCAACCTTGCAAGAGAAAGAACTCAAGAATTTCCAATTGAGGTTGTCCATGAATGGTTGAAGTAGGCGTTTCAAGGCTTTTAGTCTGTAATAAGGCAGTATCTCATTGGTAATGTTCGAACTCCATCAGTTTCAATTTGAATTGGTGGGTTTGTCCCCATTTGTTGTCTAATTGGAGAAAATTACAATATCTATATAACAAAAAAAATGTGTACTTTTTGATTTCTGTTTAATGACTCCATGCATCAATCTTACTATCTAGTCATTAAATAGGGAATGATTTTAGTTACTATTACTAATGTTCATTGGTTAATAATGTTTTACATTATATATAGTCTATGTCTCTTCAATTGTCCTGCTCAAAACAATTATTTATCCCACAATGTAGCACCTGTATTTATTTCTTTTCCCTTTCTCTTATTCTTTTCAACATCGCACCTGGTTTCCATTTTCATAACAGATTTTGGTTGGGTTTTTTCAAGGGCACTTGTTTTTTTTTTTTCCTTTTTCTTTTTCATTTGGTTGTTGAAGCTTCTAAAAGGAAATTTTCTTTCATAGAGCACCAATAATGAAGCTAAGGAATCTGTCTAACTATTTGGCAAGGAAATAATTTAGCCAGAAAAATTTCTCCTCTTGTGCTATAAGAATGTTGTTACTTCATCTACATACTCATATGGTTACTCTTTTTCTTTCTCTCTCATACACACACCTTCACAAAAACCTATTTCTTAGTGGACTATATAAGCAGTTCTTGTTGTCTATATGCGTCTATGTTGGTGTTTCCTAAACTTAGTTGAAGGTATTTTTGGAATTATCAATTCTTTTGACATTGTTTGATTTGTTTGAGTTCAGACTGTTATTGGATATTATTTTTGTTCTCTGTTTTCTTTTTTTTGAATAATAGTTTGGTGATTTTTTGTTTGTTGCATTGAAAGTGAGAATTCAAGATCAATCTTTAATTCTTATTGAAGTAAAGCTTATTGCTAATTAAAATTTAAACAAAGGGTCAGGACTTAGGGCATATATATATATATATATTGATTTGGTGACCAAGGAAATAATTTAGCCAGAAAAATTTCTCCTCTTGTGCTATAAGAATGTTGTTACTTCATCTACATACTCATATGGTTACTCTTTTTCTTTCTCTCTCATACACACACCTTCACAAAAACCCATTTCTTAGTGGACTATATAAGCAGTTCTTGTTGTCTGTATGCGTCTATGTTGGTGTTTCCTAAACTTAGTTGAAGGTATTTTTGGAATTATCAATTCTTTTGACATTGTTTGATTTGTTTGAGTTCAGACTGTTATTGGATATTATTTTTGTTCTCTGTTTTCTTTTTTTTGAATAATAGTTTGGTGATTTTTTGTTTGTTGCATTGAAAGTGAGGATTCAAGATCAATCTTTAATTCTTATTGAAGTAAAGCTTATTGCTAATTAAAATTTAAACAAAGGGTCAGGACTTAGGGCATATATATATATATTGATTTGGTGACTGAAAGGTAAGGTTTGTTCACGTCGAAAGCATCTTGCTCTTGTGAATTTAGTAGGCATTAATGGTTTTCCTCTTGGTAATGTATTGGGATATGTTTCTTTATTACTTATCTTTATTTGAGAATCTTTTATCTTTCATTTGTGAATTCTGAATTTTTGTTGATTCACTTTCATAGGGAAGTAAGCATGCAGGTTCTCTTATAAACATTTTCACAAACACCTCATAGGTGTATTCAATGTCTACAAACTTATAATCAATGTATAAATCACAAAGCAAACACTACAAAGAAAACAGAAGAGGGGACCATGAAAAACGAACCTCAGGTGAACATAATTGAGAATAAACCTTCGTTTATTTCTCTACTCTGGTTTTTTGTAGATAGGCCTCAATTAAGGTAACTTGTGTGAAAAAGAGCAAATTTGTGAGACTTGAATGAGGTGTAAATGCAAACTTAAAATGCAGACATCTAGGCAATCTTTTGTAAGCAATGTAAGCTTCCAATTATTTGTCTTCAAGCGGTGCACCGAACAAAGAAGGTTCTAGGAGAGACCACAGAAAGACCCATCAGTCAGAAGCAAGACTTGGATCATCTGGGTTGGTTGTCCATTCGGTACCCACCGAAACACTCCTTCTCACCAAAATGGAAGAAGCAATGTGAGGCACGTCATCTCTGGAAAACATACAATACAAAAAGTTGAGAAAACATAGATTCGGATAATTTGATAGGTTACTGTGGACTCGTCTTTTTCCGCGCCCCTCCTTTTGGAAAGGGTTTGAAAAGAAGGTTTCACAGTTCGGAGTCTTGCGGTTCTGAAGTTAGTCTCACAAAGTGTAATGTGAAACTGATAATCACCAAAGAGTCCAAATCCGGTAAACTTTTTGAAAAATCGATTTTAAATCAAATAATGCCAAAATTAGACTGCTTTGCCAAATACAGAGTCGCCACCTAAATATTTTATTTTTGAAAAATTTAGGAAACCCTGACTCGTGCCAAAGGCCACGTGTCCGTCATAACCAAAGTTGCCTCGGCTCGGAAACTTGGGTACGAGAGGGGAAGGTCCTAAAATGAGCAACCCCGCTTGCCCGATCAAAGATCGGCCTCTACTAATCATGATATGTTCTTTATAAACATTATGTGTTGTTGTTCTGGTTATTAAACTAGTTTTATTATGTGACGCACACAAGCAAGTATAGACTAAGTCGCAAGGCTTGGAATAAATCAACTCATGTTTATTTTTTAAATAGTTTGAATTTGCCACTCTCAAATGGACTTAAAAATGCGGATTCGCCACCAAACATAGTGGGCTTAAAACACACATTCATTTAATCATTCCAATTCAAATAATCAAGCCTTTATCCACAAGCATTCATGCAGTTTATCAAGTAAGCACGTAACCTCATGGCAAGCATGAGAAACATGGCAACATTGCAATCACACTCATGTAAGTATGCTAAAACATAAATCTCACCGAGTACTCCAAGCCAAAACAAAAATTAGTTAGAAAAATGCATGATCCTAACTATATAAGATGACTAATGCAACACATGCAATATGCAATTAATAGGCTCGACTACTAATATGACATATGATTCAACTTGAACAACATGCGATAAACACGTATTCAAAGAAGATATTGAAATAACAATGCAGTTTGAATGATGCGCCGAGCCTCGGTGCATGCAATACAAATGAATAGATGTAAACATGCGAGCATAAGGTATGCTAATTGAAAATGTCCCTTATCTAACCATCGAAAGAGATTAAATAAAAGGGAGAAAGACATGGGATTGGAAGACATACATACATACACGCACGCACACTTATTACAACATTATGCCCTCGCGAAGGAGGGTCCGAATGAATAAGCTAACTAGCTACGCTAATTAAGCTAACTATTACAACCCGAAACTAATTAACTTTTCTAGCTAACTAATTATTACAAACCAAAATTGAATAACTAGCTATGCTGAGCTAATGAAAGCAATTAAACTAATTAACTATCTAAGCTAATTAAATAATTACAATACTTGTATTAAGCCAACTAAAGCAATTAAATGGCCACGAGGGCGAGGGATGCATGCATGCTTGGTTGGTTTCCTCTCGAGAATCCACCACGTTGCCATTGTAGCCTATGTTCGCACATGTTTGAACACCAATAGTGCTGCCAACTTCCAAAATGCCTCTGCTCCACCTCAGAAACACACTTGTGCAATTTTTCATTGATGGTCGGTCGGCTACAACTGGTGGCTAGTCGGCCACCTCTTCCCTAAACTTCTTTTTTTGCTGCAATAGAGAGCAAACAGAGGCAAAGCAGTGTATTCTCAAGAAGTGTATGTACTACTACCCTCCTTATCATCACACATGCTCAAAGGAGTGTAGCTCTTGGCCCTCAAACCATCAACCAAGCATTTTCCATGCATGATGGCAAAGGAATCAAGCTTGTACAAGCTTAATGAGTGTAAAACAAGACTCAACAAAACCACTACCCTATCATGCATGATCAAGGGTAATGGTGACCAAGCAAAATGGCGCATTTCATCACTTTTGAGTATGAAATGTCCCATTTTCCTCATGTTCGAATTAACGTCCAATGCGAACACATGCAATGCAACATGAAAGATGCTTTATCTTGTCTCTTTTACTTGTCCAATTTTGTTTACTCATTTTAGCTTACCAATCCATTATTTAATTGATTAGTACAAAAGTGAGTGTCCTCTAATGGAAGAGGTGTCAACCAAGGGATGATTTAAGGCAAGAGAGAGGTCATGCCTTTGAGTAGTAGAAACCCTCAAAAGAGGATTAAAACCATTAAGCACGAACCTCGATCTCAAACCTTAAACACAACCTGAAGGTTAACTAACCCTCAAAAAAAATGAAAAAGCGATGAAATTAGGGAGGTTATAGATATTTAGGTGCTGGAATTAGGCATGAAAAAACCATTAAAACATGCATCCAAGACATACAAATGATGCTCAAAGCCTAAAACACTAAGCTAGTGAAAAAATTAACACTACAACTATGCCATACAAGGCTCAAAAGCAACCACTAGCCCAAAACAGATGCAAAACAGCCCAAAATATAGCTTTAAACATTCTGAAATTAAGCTAACACAAGCTAGAATAATAGGCTAAAACACGAAGCATGCTAGACTAGTAAGCAAGACACAATGTGAAAGATGCTTTATCTTGTCTCTTTTACTTGTCCAATTTTGTTTACTCATTTTAGCTTACCAATCCATTATTTAATTGATTAGTACAAAAGTGAGTGTCCTCTAATGGAAGAGGTGTCAACCAAGGGATGATTTAAGGCAAGAGAGAGGTCATGCCTTTGATTAGTAGAAACCCTCAAAAGAGGATTGAAACCATTAAGCACGAACCTCGATCTCAAGCTTAAACACAACCCGAAGGTTAACTAACCCTCAAAGAAAATGAAAAAGTGATGAAATGAGGGAGGTTATAGATATTTAGGTGCTGGAATTAGGCATGAAAAAATCATTAAAACATGCATCCAAGACACACAAATGATGCTCAAAGCCTAAAACACTAAGCTAGTGAAGAAATTAACACTACAACTATGCCATACAAGGCTCAAAAGCAACCACTAGCCAAAACAGATGCAAAACAGCCCAAAATATAGCTTAAAACATTCTGAAATTAAGCTAACAGAAGCTAGAATAATAGGCTAAAACACGAAGCATGCTAGACTAGTAAGCAAGACACAATGAGAGGAGGCTACCTTCTCCATTTTTGGACTTCAAAATATGTTTTTATCCACTAAAATTGCTCTAAAAAATAGTGTTTAAGAGCTTGGAAAAAGATGGCAAAAGGGTGGGAACACAAGGGCAAAGGCCTCCAAAATAAGGTACAAAAAAGGGCAATCAACTCCTCAACCTTTAATGGCCTTAGGACCCATGCTTCAGCCCAAAAACCCAGAGTTTTTATAGCACAAAATTAGTTGGAAAACATGCTGGAATGAAGACAAGAGTAGCTAAAACAATAAGCTAAAACATGGGATTACACTACAACCATGCAAAAGACTTCATACAACACAAACGGCCCAAAACAGAGTTAACGAAGCCCAAATCAGAGGCAAAAACATGTTAGAAATAAGCTAAGTTAAGCTACAAAAACATGCTAATATATGAAGCTAACTAGGCACGCAAACAAGATACAAGGAAGGGAGGCTAACCCCTCCAATTTTGGACTTCAAAACAAAGTTTTTACCACTGAAAAACCTCTGAGATTCTGTGACGACCCGTTCCCTGTACCCAAGGGTTAAGCATCGTGATGGCCAGTAATTGAAGTTACCTTCGGCTAATTCTTGAACAAATTAATAAATGCGAGCGGAAATAATATTTAAGTGAGGATACCAAAATAATCATTGGAGCTTCTATTTTTATTACAAAATTTATTGACCAAAAGGCCAATATTTACATATAAAAATATCATAAAAGTGTTGTGTGTATCTATTCCGCAGCCCCGCGTCTAAGACTTTCCAAAAGCTATTTTTGAATTACATTGTTTCCTGAAAATTGGTAAACAGCTATAAGCACATGGCAGAGTGAGAAATATTATGCCAAGAGTATAAGGGACACAAAATAACCATGGATAGTTATGTAACTAAAATATTAAGATAACTTAGTCTAAACAAATAATCATTTAAGTAGCAAAACTAGGATTCTGTAAACAAATAACCATAACCACGGTACCGAACAGAACAGAACAGAGGTCACAGGAGTGACAGTTAGAACAGAGGTACGTATTCAATAGATGGCTCGTATGGATTATAGAGATGGCTCCCACAATGGTAGCTATAAGCACATGGCAGAGTGAGAAATATTATGCCAAGAGTATAAGGGACACAAAATAACCATGGATAGTTATGTAACTAAAATATTAAGATAACTTAGTTTGAACAAATAATCATTTAAGTAGCAAAACTGAGATTATGTAAATAAATAACCATAACCATGGTATCGAACAGAACAGAACAGAGGTCACAGGAGTGATAGTCATAACAGAGGTACGCATTCAATAGATGGCTCCCACAATGGTGTAGCACTTATCTCCGCACAGAAGAGAGGTCAATAGATCCATGACAATAGAGGGCCACAAAGAGACCAAACAGAAGCGGATGGTTATTTAAGTCCCCCAAGGCGTGACTCCCGTGGTGGTACTTACAAAACATAATTGTTTATAAGGTTACAGTCAAATATTCTTTAAAATTTAAAAAAACATATCCATGGGTTTCATTTTAAATAAATAGAGTTCAGAAATTAATCCAAGTAATTGAAATATTTATGAAACATAACTTCTATTAATATAACTAATAAAATATAACTTGTATAAAATAAATTATGGTAAGTCAAAACATACGTAAATATATTGTGGTGACTCAAGGTATAATATAACTTACCTTAAAATTAATACCTCATCATTTCTTTCAACTACCAAAGACCCTTTCGACTTCCAGTATTTTCTTCCTCTTTTCTTAGTTTTTTTTCTTTCATTCCCTTTCCTTTTTCTCTCCTGAGCAACTCTCCCTCCTTTATATAGAAAGAGAATCGTGGGCACCAAGCCATGTGGCTGCCCACGTGTTGCATTCCCATTAATACGCCATTAATTCATGCTTATCTATTACCTTTAGGTTCAATTTCCAAATCTGAACTAATTATATTTTTTTTTCCGATAATCTCATTTATAATTAAATAATACGAATATAAAATTTAAGGGACAACTTAAATTTTTGGGTTATTACAGATTC